GGGATAAGCTCTGGCGTGATGGGCCACTTGGCTTGTACGCAGACTTTACCTTACCTTTACCTTAGTTAATAAATTTTATTATGCTAATTAATTATGCAAATTAAGGTCTGGTCAAATTGATGAGATGTCCGACCAAAATGAAGATTCGAAAGGACACATGTCCTGTTAAAGAAGAAAAATTATTTCCAGCACTGCATAATGGGATATTTTCCAAGAGATACATGTACACAAGATACCCATCTCTCGATATTATTGATAAGTTTTAACACAGTCAATCTAAATTGAAATTCAGAGGTACATAGCTTCAGAAGATAGCACCTACTCAAAAATATTTGGCATAGGAATTTATAAGCAAGAGCCTTGTGTGAACTTGAGTTAAATGGCTGGTCTACTTCTGTTTTACTACATACATGTTCACTTAAGCACTCATGTATGTAAACTAAGCTCATAATTATCATTTCTTTCCTTGCAGCAACTTTTCCAACTACAAAAACAGGTTTTCCATGCCAGGAAATACTGAAAGTATCTTCTACAGGTAATTGCATGCTCTTAGAAAGTTATACCTTTCTTTTCTTTGAAAACCTTGTCATCATGAGGAAGAACTAAGAAAGTAAAAAACTAAATTGTAGTCACACACTAGACTTTTGTCCACAGACTTAATGGCATGTGTTTAAATCAAATTTCTGCATGTGGTCGAGGTACATGTACACATGTAAAATTTGACACAGGTACAGAGGCCAGGTAATTTGAAAATTTAACACACTACACTATCCAAAGCAGGGCTGTAATTACTGGCTGTAACCTGTAACACCTGTTACAGCTGAGCATGCCTAATTTTCCCTGATGCTTCGGTGAAATTGCCTTTTGTTAATAGAATTTGTCAAACAAAGCTGCAAGTTTGTTACGGTTGTGGAGCACAAGAATACAGGTGACTCAAAACGTAATGACAGCCCTGCAGTATGGATAATCTGGTTTATCTTCTGGACACCATTGTTCACCCTTTGAACAACTCAAGGGCAGCTGTTGGTTTGGAAGCATACTGATATATCCTTGATTCATTTTTCAGCTGGAATGTTGGACCTGCACACATCATCGGCATTTCAACTGAAGTGTACTACTTCTATCAGTACGGCATTGAACAGATTGTTCAACAGTATGATTGGTTGGAAAAAGACCTGCAGGTTAGAGAAAGAACAAGTCCTAATAACCGTAAATTTTTTTGCGTATGCATCTTGCCCTCTGTGTTCAAAACAGTGGACGTTGTGCACACTTACAAGTTAAATAATTTGCTGTGGGGCTGGGTTATGTGTTAGAGACTGACTCGTATGATCCCATCGGTGTGCCTTACAGACTATACATGTCTCATCTTGTCATATTGTTTTGTGTACATGGGTTTGAGTCAGCCGAGCTTCACTGTCTTAAACATTCTCATCCCCAGAACCCCGGAAAAGGTGGCTCCGGAGACACATGAATAGGTTGGCTAGGTTCTTGGACTAAGATTTCCCGTAATTCCACACTGGTTTCTTTGCAAAAAAATATCTGGCACAGTTTGATTTTTTAACTCGAGCCATTCAATCACAACAACTTTGGACCTTTAGCAAATGGAGTTTAAAACAAAATTAAAATTCTGGCTCAAAGTGGTAATCATGTGCTTCTTTACGGTCAAATTTTCGTAGCAAGCCCATCTTTAACTTCCTGGAAGATACGTAGACCTGTGCAAGTTGCTGTAACCAAGCTGTTTTATTTAGAGATTGAACAGTCATATTTTTAAGAAGGAAACCACCACTGAATTAGTAGAAATCTTGTTCAGCCAGTCAAATCAAACGTTGCAAAAGGCACCTTTTCCTTGTACCCAGGTCCCACTGGCTGAGAGACACAGGTAGCTCTGGGGACAGGAATGGGTGTTCAATAATGCTTTTAGTTCAGCTTTTTACACAACCTGCAGTGCAGGCGTAGTTTGGGTGCTTGTGAATGCACATTTTCGTATTAGGCCACCATCTTGTATTTGGTAACTGTGGAGGGTTGGGCTGAGGGAAAATTTGCCAAGGGAGTAGGGTGGAGGGGAAGGAACTGCCCCACCCACTGCACTCTGCCTCAATCCTACATAGGTCAAGCATCTAATTACAATCCAAGATGGCAGCATCGAAAACCTGGTCTATCGAGTGCTCTGTTCCAAAATAACCCATCCATTGCAGGCTACTTTTTACAAAGTACGATGTATTCTGAAGGTCTCAAAATGTCACAATTTTATTGCATGTTTCTTCATAGGAAGCAACATCTCCCGAAAACCGTGCATTACGTCCCTGGATCATCACGATGGGTCACAGACCAATGTACTGCAGTAACTCTGACGGCGATGATTGTACCAAATATGAGAGTAAGGTAGGTATGTTGGCTGTACTTAAACAGTTAGACTAGAGGTTGCTACTCCACCAGACTATAACGACTTCAATCTAATGTGAAACTGATTTTATACAAATTGTGAGTACCAGTTGCAAGAATGTAAATTTTTCATGTGTCTTAGTGTGCTTCAGTCATAATTCTCACGTCTTTATTTAAAATAGCGTATAAATGTGGAAAAACATATCGCAGGTTTTAATTGCAACCTTATGATGCTTTTTTAAGGTTCGCTCTGGAATCACTTCGAAACATTTGTTCGCTTTGGAAGACCTATTTTACAAATACGGTGAGTAACGAGTAATTGGCAATCAGATTACATGAAAGTCAAAGTTAAGAGTCGTACTGTCTTGTGTTTTGGTTGTCAAGAGAATGTAAGACCTCCAGGTTCTCATTTGTACGGTATCAGGATGAGCATGACAACAGTAGTTTTGGTTGGTTGGCATTCAGTTAAGAGGCTTGCTGCCATTTATTTAGGTCCTTTCTCAATGCGTCTCGTGACGACCCAAATAACGGCTGTAAAGAAGAATATTCAGGGGTTGGCTTGTAGAAAATGAATAGTTTAATAGGCCATACATGTGTTCATCACAGTTTGATGAAACAGCACTTTCGTCAAGTCAGTGCAGAACTTGCAATCTTAGCAGTAGGCATCATGAGAAGGTAAAGGCTCAACTACCAGCTGCTGTCCAGCAAGGAAGTTTGCATTCCTCCTCTCTCCTCTCTAGGAGGAATGAAGACGAGACATGAGAGAGTGATGCAAATCGTGCCAAGGGAGTTTCTGTCGAGCATTGATTCTTGGCTAACATGACGGGATAAGCGCCGTGATGATGGTGGTTTCCATGCTATAACACAGTCACAAATTAATTATTAAACACCCGGAGGTCCACAACTTTTGGCAAAGTTCAAAAAAATTCTGAACATAGGGTTCAGAGCCACCTTAAATTTTCAAAACTTTAAGGTGGTTCTGAACTCAAATCAAGTGATAAAGAGTGGTTATAATGACCAATCAAAATCTAAGTGCTGGAAACTGTTTTGAACCAAGATCACCCGTTAATATGGTTAGAGTTTTTGGACCGTTGGTGTCCGGATTAAAGGGGGTGAACTTTTTTTTTCTGGCAATAGATGCAGGAAATCTTGTTTCAAGTAACAGTGGTTGTGGTCTCAATTCATTTCTTCAGGTGTTGATCTGATGTTTTGGGCTCACGAGCACTCATATGAACGACTCTGGCCTCTCTACAACAGACAGGTAAGATATCGCGACCTCCTTTTTAAATTTGACCACATTTGAATGGTCCATCCTAAAGTCTGCAAAGAGGCTCCCTATTGGGATATAAGGCAAAAAAGAAAGAAAAAAAGAGATTGAACCAAGTACATTCACAAAATTTTCCTCCCCAGATTGCTCCCTATTGGGATATAAGGCAAAAAAGAAAAAAAAAAGAGATTGAGCCAAGTACATTCACAAAATTTTCCTCCCCAGATTGTGTCCGCTTGTTCCACTTCCTGATATCTCTGTTCTGTGCCCCATTGTCCGAGGGAGCTTGTTCATAGGTTAATGACACTTGTGTTTTACTTGGGATACTAACACGCCTTGCTTTTCGTTTGTTGTAGGTTTGCAATGGATCACGGGAAGAGCCATACACCAACCCTTGCGCTCCAGTTCATATCATCACCGGCTCAGGGGTATGTTAATGTTTAAAAACGTCTTCCACTCGGGGAAAGGTGTTTTGTCCTCACTGAGTGGGATCTTGAATGAGTTACTTGTGGAATCAAAATACTGGGTAACATTGCATGTAATTTTTAAGTTGCATAGTGAGTGATCGTGAGATACGCGGGGGTCTAGTGGCTAGTGCTCTGGAGTCCCAGTCAAGCAGTCCGTGTTCTCGGGCAAGACCCTTGGCACTCACAGTGTGTCTCGTCCCAGCTGTATAAATTGGTATCAGTGAAGTTATGCCGGAGGTATCCCCTGCCATGGACTAGCATCCCACCCGGGGGTGGGGGATACACTCCTAGTCGTTCGTTCTAAGGAAACCAGAGATACCCGTTGGCTTGATGGGCACGGTCACGACTTACGGTGTGTGGTAAGGGGTCAGTTTGTTCAGCGCAATATTACCCCTTGTGTTTAGGCCTTTACAGGACGGGCGCGCTAAAGGGAAAAAAAATGTCAAAGACACAGGCAAAGCCAATTCAAGGTAGTAGTTTCTTTAAAAAAAATTGTTGTGCTGCATCGGCGAGCAAGTGACTTAGCTATTTATCAACTTGAAGTTGGTATTTTTGGGTAAACTTACTGGCGTAGCTTGTCTGTGAGGTTAGTCCGGCTTACATGCACGCTACGGCGGTTAATAAGTCCTTATCGACTTTAAGTTGTAAATACTAACAGCAACGCTGACAGATGTTTTCACTTGTTATGAACCCTGATTGTCTTGGCCAGCATTGTAGGTAGTAGTCAGAATATAACGAGTTCCTAGAACCACGTTTTTTTTTTTTTTTTTTTTTTCAGGGCTGTTTCGAAAAACATAACCCATTTGTTAAAGACTACCCTCCCTGGACAGCGTTCCGCGCAGTGGATTACGGTTACACTCGAATGACCATCCACAACAAGACGCACTTATACATGGAACAAGTCAGTGTGGATAAGGTAAGTGAAGGGGGTGGGTGGAGTGGAGTGGGGGAAAGGAATTGGTCACACAAACTTTATACCCCTGGACCTGATTGTTCAAAAGGTGGATAACGCTATCCACCGGATAAATCACTATCCAGCGGATAGCGTGGTTTGTTGTGTTAACACTTATCCGTTGGATAATCCGTTGGATTATCCTTGGGATAGCGATTTATCCGGTGGATAGCGTTATCCTTAGGATAGCGATTTATCCGGTGGATAGCGTTATCCGGTGGATAGCGATTTATCCGGTGGATAGCGATTTATCCGGTGGATAGCGATTTATCCGGTGGATAGCGTTATCCAGCCTTCGAACAACCGAAGCCTGAAGAATAAAATCTCTGTTGATGTATAACTCGTCGAATTACATTCAAACTCAAACCCTACAACATTCGTAGCAGCATAAAATGTTGAGTTAAGAAAGTTGTATTCAGTGTTCGCTAGATGTGAGCAGCGCGTGCTACAAAAAAGGAATGCGACAAAGTCATACCGCCTAAATGTCGGTGAACCAGTTCTGTTGTATAAGGGCCATTTGTACGAGCAAAATAAGTCGTGGCTTATTTTCCTTGTATAAATGGCCCTATTGATAAACAAAAGCCATGGTAATATCCAGGAGTGCTTTTTGTACTGGTAGTGATCTGTAGTCATGTCCAGGAAAAGATAATATAGAGTGCTTTGTTTTCTTGCAGGGGGGTGACGTCATTGACAAAGTAATGATAATCAAAGACGTGCATGGACCAGAAGCCTGGGTTCC